ATAATTTTTCAATTCCAGTCCATGCTAATTGTCAAATAAAACTATTGGAAATTTGTCAAATTCTATAATATAGTATATCTACTAACAACTAATGACGAATTCGATTGAAAGCACTAGTGCACACTGGTGCATATTAAAGCCGTTGTCGGTTGTACACTGATTTAATTTTAATGTAAAAGTGAAATGCAAATATTTCGAATTATAAAATGTATATTTTACCTAATAGTACAATAAAATGTATCGAGTATTTCAGGATTTAATCAATTTCTATATTTATGTATAAATATTACGTTATTTTGTGTTCGATGGCTTTAATGTGCACCAGTGCGCATTGAGTGCGTCCAATCAAATTCGCTATAAGTAAACATCTTAATAATTCACTCAATAATCTTATTAATTTATAATTAAACCATTCTAACTTGTTCTGTTTTAGTTGAATCATCGCATGGTCTCTAAGTCCTAAAAGCTAGTTAAAATATGAAAGTGTTTTTTAATTTAGTTACGAAATTTGATATCTATAATAGTTTTCGAGATCATTGATTACGATCGAATTCGAAATCAAATTGCAAAAAAAAGAAAATGCATCTATTTAATATAGTCAACGTATGTAGAAGAAATATTTGATGTAAACTAAAATTTATATCCTGTTCTATTTTTAAATAAGCGGTAATAAAATTCGAAATAAAAATAAAGATTTTTAATAAATAACAATTTTTCATTAAATAACGTTCTTTCACTAATAGCGGCCTCACCATAAGTATTTGAGAGCATTCGATGAGCCTCAGCCGCAGATTTCTTCATATTGAAGCAGACAATTAAAACCTCCCGCAAATAACGAGAATTTGACTCGTAAACTGACATTTTCAATCGAGAATAACTTTATGATGCAGACACAAATCGACTAATGTTTCTATGGGGTTATGTTGACAGATACCCAAGTTTATTGTATGACGTCTATGATCTATTTATTTCGACCACTTACCGCTAAAGCTATCTATGGGAAAATGGCGGAAGCAAAGTTAACACCTAATAATTTTTTTACTCAAATACTATCAATTTTACAGAAAAACTGCAAGAGACAAAAATTGTTTATTTTCTTCTCATAGAGTTCTAAAAATTTTTTTTAGGATTTTTTATCAACTTTTTAATACTCCATTTTCTTATTTTAATACCAACATAAGAAAATACAGTATTAAAAAATTCTTATAGCTCTTAAATTATACTTATTTGATGAATGAGTGATAATAATATATCACTGATAATGAGGCTATTACATCAGTAAGGTAATAAATGGAAAAAAAAAAATATATATATATATATATAAAATCTTATTTCGTCACAAAGTTATTTATTAATTGTGTAAAAAAATGTAAAACTATACATATATGATAATCACCAACTAAATAAATTACACTTATCGTTTCAACATTATAGATAATTCTGAAATATTGCTCTGGCATCAATATAATAAATCAAAAACATATGTATCAATATTTATTATAAGACGATTGAATGCATACCACAAATGTAATCACTATATCACTTACCATGTTTCGACCCGTAATATTTTATCCCATTTTTTGTCGAACATCTAGTATATTTTGTTAAAAGTGCATTAACATTCGTTATACCTTTTGTAAAGCGACTAAAAGAAATAATTACATAAGATTTAAATTAATAATACCTTTGTATTTTTATTTACTTACATAATATAAGGTGTTATCTCTTTAACAGTCCATTTAGCTTTAATTTCAAAAAGTTCATTAAGTCTGTCGTGAATGTTGTTGGGTAAGTCTGCCTCTGGACAAGATATGACTTCCTTCTGTAGTTTTGAAGTATTATACATTATAAGGGCTGATCCATGTAAATATTCTTCTCTTGGCTGCATTTCTAAAACATCAAAAAATTATAAGTTCAAAAAACTATATATCATTACAATTTCCTAGCTCAATTACATACTTTCAGGAGTTCCAATGTTCCACGCTTTCATAAATTCTTTATATTCGGTAACAGGAGAAGTAGCAAGAAGAACTTTTGCCATCGCTGTACAGCATTTTTCTTCGTCAAACCTTTTCAAGATATTACATTTGAAAGACATCTTCCTTATAAAATTTTCACATTAATTATTATAAAATATGTTAATAATGTATATACCTATATAATGGACTTCCGTCATCCTTTGTTTTTGTGCTTACTTCTGTATACCTTTTGAATATAACATTAAATACTGGTTCATAAATAAGTTCCTTTAAAAATTGATAAGTATTCTCTTTATCTACTTCATTGAGTTCCCAAGACTGTCTTTCAAAATAATCCAATATCAGATCCAAGCTTCTTGCTTCTATGTCAAATGATATCAGACGCAAATAACCTTAACATAAAAAGGTCTTTAAATTAGATGATATCATTTGTAATGAATATGGTCTAATATAATAAAGAGAGTTTTATTACAAACCATCTATTTCAGCTATTAAGAAATCCGATAGAGCCTGTTTTAACTCTTGATCACTAGCTTGTAACTCATTTTGTAATCTTTCCCAACTGTATAATGTATTTCGATCTATAGTAGATTCGTATTCCAATCCATTGAAAGAAGAAGATTTAAGCAGACTTGATAAACGTACCAGATCAGGTTTGGTTTCTTTCACCTTGTGAACACGAAAGATTATATTAATTTTTGTCTACAATTCAACATTTTACGCACCATTCAAATATAGAATACTACAAGCACCTCGTAGTATAAGTTAAATATCTTCTTTACATTATGTCTTTCTATAGTTCGTTCTGCAACTTCTTCGATATCTGTTGTCTTACCCAGCTTTAAGTTTGGTACCAACAACCATGAATTGGATATCTCTGCCTCTCTAACCTCATAGGTACAAGTTTGTGTACATAGCATAGCGTTGTCATGTTTATTACCACGAAATGATATTCTACTGTTACAAAATTATATTATTTATAATCACTTTACAGAATAAGAATTGCAATATTAATGTTCAAAGAAGATCTCGATTTTTAAGGATCTATTTTATAAAACAAAAATCACAAAAATTTGAAAGACATACGCATCTCCCTGGTTTAATCCGTTTAATATATCCTCGTCTACTTCCAACAATATCATATTATTGACTTGATGATCTTGCATGGAATATAGACATTGTGTCATGGTATTTAAATCAGACTCTTTAATCCCAGCCAATTCCAAGATCTCGCAAACATTCTCCTTAACGCGAACGTTCCTTAACAAGAAGAAACATTGTAAAATTGATATTAAAAAAATATATAGAAAATTCTAACAATAATCACCGTTTATCGGCTGATTTCGTCAACAGACCGGCAGACTCCATATCAAGTTCAGGTAATTATGAAGGAGACGGGCTTTTTCATAAAAGTCAATGAAATTAGGCTATTCGACGCGTTTTTTGCATAAAATAAAAGAGTCTAGCAGAAAAAAAGCGGCGCTCTGTCCCGCGAACTGAGATATTAATCGTTCAGGTTAAAGTTGACAACTATTCAGGTTAGGAAATCTGTCACAGACACGCAACACTCCAAAGTGCAGTAAGTGCGTTTGTGAAAGTAATCAGTAGTAGGGCTGTAGGGCTTCAAGATTGATTCGGATTTAAAGCTATCCGGATATTCATTTATCCGAATTACGAATAAATCCCAGGTGCAATTTGGCTAAAACAAATTTTAGCTGATGGTGACTTTAATTATAAGTTTGCAATATTCAAATTTTATATGCGTAACAGGCTAATATAATACAGCTCAATATAGCCTAGTATAAATAGTTTTGGGATACTTTGGGTTATTTTGTGTTACATTGGCAATACAGACGTAGCCAATGCAGCGTCATGCAGTGCAAAAGTCGCCAAAAATCTGGTAACCCTGGATAACAATGCAAGGTTCATAGATTTGTATCATTATACTAAACTGCTAACTCCCCACTTTTCCTTATGTAAGTGTTGCCTGCACGCAGTAGATAAGCAGAATGATAGCGTTTTTCATTGGCAGAACTAGTGCGTACTTAGTGCGGGAGGATCCCGTTTGCCTACAGTTCTGATTGTACACACCACTCATATCAAGTAGTGCCTAGTAATTTTTCACTGTTTTGCCAACAAGATTATTTTATTTTTAAATTGGCCAATCAGCGATACATGTGTGCAATCGGAGCCCTCCCGTAAGAATTGACCAATAATCAATTATTTTCCCCTTATACTGTGATTGGTCAATTCTTATAGATTACGGCGTAATTAGTTAACAGATTACGCCAGTATAATGAGCTCTGCTACAGGGCACGCTTAATCGGGTTTAATAACATCCGTAGTTATGAAATTGGCCAATCACAGCTTTTCCTCGGGAGAATGGAATGATTGTGATTGGCCAGTTTCATAACTACGGATGTTATTAAACTCGATTAAGGGTGCCGTGTAAATGTAGTCAGTGATCCTTTCGACGACACTCGGCAAAAATCTGCCAACCCTGTTACAAACTGTACAAAGTATTTGATAAATGCACCTTATGTATGAATACATCACTGCAAAATGTATTGATGAGCTATTAATGGTATACTTATGCAAAACTGGAACTTGTTAAAAATACCTTGTAGGAACTAAACTCGTTAAAAAATGGTTTTTGCTTTTAATAAAACATTTCATATATAAATATCGCAAACTAGTATAACCATTGAATAATTATATGAAATAAAAATAACACATTCAGTTCTTCTTTTTACATTATAATTACTGCCCGTAATATTCCTAAGTAGGAATAGACTACGAAATTACGAACTTGCGTTAAAAACAACATTGATTATGTTTCACAAGAAATTATATTCTTGCGCAGTATTGCTCGAAAAGAAAATATTGTTTATATTTAAATATATGTTCATAAATATATAATATATACATACATACTTTTAAAATGTTTGTACGTATGTATACATTATCATTTGATTATACGAGATGACGCAGATAAAATCAAGAAATTTTGAAACATGCGATATCATGTGCAATGTCAGAATAAATACGAATAGCGTCATTAAATCTGAGACCTTTATCTCATTTAATAACGTCAATGTTAATGTTAATAAAATTAATGGCGTATACTCTTATCTTTATGGATCAATGTAACTTTGCGTCATTTCGTATATGCCATCATTATATATAACAAATAGTAACGATAATCTTAAATCCTTTGGAGTTATGATTTCATTATAGCTGTGACTAAAATTCTGTAGTGATAAACTTCCTACGCTTATAATTAACGAATACTATCGTATCTATAAGTACGCTTAGATAAAATGTCAATATTTGAATGTTAAAAAGAGCTAAAAAGCACAAATACTAGGCGTGCATTCCACTTGGAATTCATAACGCTCGCGAGCATTATTTCATCTTTGTTATTATCAAATGTTAAACAAGGATGAAGTGATGCACGAGTGTTGCGAACGTTAAGTGGAACGTACCCTAGATTTCCCGTTGTTAAAGTATTGAAGTGTAGATGTGTACACACGGGTAACTTGGTAGTATATCGTCTACTTATATACATACTAATTGCAAGCAACGATTCAAAGTCCTGGAATCAATTATTTAAAATTAATAATCATTTAAATAATCGTCTCGTTTATATGAAGAAATGCATTTCACTATCATTTACCTTAATTCAAGACATCTCGTTGTTAGCTGTCATTTATCGAAGTCTCACTTGTAACTTTACTGTTGGTCGTAAACACTGTCTGTTGATTAACACCCGTTGTAATCGATTGAGTTGGATGTATGACGGGACTCGCAGTCTGAACCAAATTGTAAGTGACTGGCACCATAGGCAAACAATTAACAGAATTTATAGGCCCTACATTACATGCTAATGAGGGTCTTTTTCTTTCTAAACTGTTAGTGGCCATTTGTCTTCTCGCTGTTGAGTTACGTTCAAGGCTATTGGTAACTGTATTGTGTCTTCTTTCTAAGCTGTTGCCGGAATTGAAGTCGGATTGACTTCCCTGAGTAAGCAAATATTTTTTTAATTTAACTTTATTTCGTCATTCGTTACTAATCTTATTGAAAAATATAACTTACCGGCAAAGATCGATCTACAGATTGACCCATTCTGTGTAATAAATCACCACTTTGGCTTTGTCTGAAGGTCGTTCCTTGTCGTTCGGTCGACTGACTTCTCCTCAGAAATTGTTCGCCTGACTGACTCGAACGAATGCGATTTTCGGGTGTGGATTCTTGCGTTCTGTTAACAACATTGCTCTGCCTTTGGCAAATCTGACTATCTACATATGGATAACGAATACGGATGGAATCGATTACGTCTAAAAGATTCTTTGCATCCATGGCTAAGATATGAGCTGCAGAAAGCATTCCCCTAAAATAAGAATAGTAATGTTTATCGATGATTCTCAATGTTTTGTATCAATTTCTTAAGATAATCCCAAAATAATAATTACTTCCGATATTCAGCATCCAATGTAGTGGCACTATAACTTTGCGCCAGTTTCATGGCAGACACAAGTTCTGCCATATCTTTACTTAATACCTTATGCGCCATTTCTACTTCACGATGCGCGGACATTGGCAAAATTTCTACCAAAACATCCACAGAGGATAATAATGCTCTTAATTCGATACCTACTCTACGTACTAATTCTAAATACTGATCAGCCTTACTCTGTTGAACACCTGCAATTCACATTTTCATTTGTTTTGTATATTACAATGTATTCTTTTGACAATATTATTTAGCTACTGTACTGTGTATTTAGCCACTACTTATTTTTTCGATTTGCATCCTTACCTTGCGATAATGACATAACTGCACGAACAACGCTTGTTGTGCAGTCGTATACTTTATCGTTAGTTCTGTCTAAATCTGCTGTAGGTGTAGGTTCCATTTTCTACAAAAAATAATTTATGAATACGTTGGATTGATAAAATCATTATGTGTAATTTACCTTTACTACAATGACTTTATCGGAATTCTTGTCCGAGCCAAGAGAGCCAGTATAGGCAGAATGCGGTTCGTGGCTCGGTGATTGAGTAACTGATCGTGGAATCGTGGGACTAGCACTTTCATCACCACTCGTAGCAATCGATAATCGTTTCTGTCAAGAGGAAAATGAAGATTAGAACATTTCAATTAACAATAAATTTTAAAAAACAATTGCAAGTAGAAGTTAGACTGAGATCCTATTTTTAATCAAAGTGAATCTTCGTGTACTTAATAATATTTATATACAATTATAAGTACATCTTTCAGTTTTTATAAATTGCATGCTAATTCGGTTTTAACTTGAAACGGAATTTTTTTTTAACATACTTCTTCTCTTGCGAGCCACCGACTATCCTCTTCAGACTGTCGTTGTTGTTCCAATAACCGTTGCTCCAGTAGCTTTTGTTCGTCATCAATGCCACTATTAAAATTGTCAGTTAGGTTATCGAATAGTTGTGAATGGACGTTTCTCTAAAACACACAGTAAAAATGATATTACGTTAAAAGTGTGACTCATTTTTTAATCCGACATTTATAAGTTCTTTTCTAATATTACACAAATGGGATAATTTTGTAACTATTTATATGTTGCAATCCTTTCTTGATAGTATAAAATAAACGTATGTACAGGAAAAATTAAAGAGACGCATATTTCTCGATAGATATAAAATAAATTTAAAACAGTGGTAGTGCATTCGCGTACTCGCTATATACATGCAGTTTAAATGATTATTGTAATAATCAGTGATATCCATTCTCTCATGCAAAAATTATTAACCTATTGAGCGGCAAGTCAAGGTTTCTGCTAAAAAATAAGTTTCTCCGATCGCATTGCGACAAAGTAGAAGATTCATTTGCGAACCAGTGCGTACGTATCTTGCATACACCAAAGAAGCACGTAATATTAATATACATTTGATGCGTGTGTGCGTGTGTGTGTGTATGTATCTAAGGTGTAATGTGATGCAATAGTGTTGAGGACCAGATAGAAAAACTAAAACAAGACCGTGACGTGGTAAAAATACAGAAGACGTGTTTGTCACATTCCTAGGAGGCGGTCATGGTCAAACCTGATCTTGTTGTGCCTCCTCTGTCATCGAGCTGCTAGACGACACGGTGCTGTCGCTGACAGCAGAAGAGATCAAAGAGCCAGAGAGAGTGCCGTCGGTCGAGCTTGTCAACTGCTCATCCTGCTTTTGTGGTGTCACGAAGGTGGTGATTTTGGCGACGCCCGTCACGACTTGCGATATATTTGCCGCCTTCGCGACGCCGCTAACCATCTGAGATTGCGGTATTTGTTGCTGATGCGTACCGGTCAGGCTTGTCATTACATTGCCGATGTTAGCGTGCACTTGATAATCAACTGGACCGAGGAAACTTGATTGCTGTTGATCTACCATGTACGCGGATGGAATTGAATGGATGTTCTGCTGAGTCGCCGAGGATGACATAACAGAGTGCGATGGAACAGAAGAAGCTTGCATTATTCCAATGTTCGCCGAATGATTCGTGCCGGTTACTTGACAAGTCACTGGCTGACAACTAATTCCCGACTGAGCTTGGTGAGTATAATTTGGCATGTGCACCTTCTGAGCTTGGACCACCGACACGGACGTGGCATGGGCCGTGTAAATAGGACTGGCACCACTTAACTGTGACTGTTGGTTCGTGTGTTGCATCGCGTGAGACACCGCCTGAGAAACGACATTCTGCCGCGTGATATTCTGCATGTGAGGCATTTGTAGCAGATACATGGACTGTTGTCCCGTTTGAGCGATATTCGAATAGATCTGTTGATGCGGATAATTCTGTGAAAACATTGGCTGCGACTGTAGATTCTGCATTACTAGATTACTTCTTCCGGCTTGACCGTAATTTCCTACCGCGCCGGCGGGTTTCAATTCAGTCGCGGTCACGGTTGCAGCTACGGCCAACTGTGGTTGGGCGTTTTGTGCGCGGAACTTGAGTACCGGACCATACAAACATTCCGAATTTGATGCGGAACTACCTACATTCGCCAAGCTAATATTACGAGAGTAAACAACGCCACTACTACCACCACCGCCACTACTAATACTATCGCCAACACTCTGCACGCCGCTAACATTCTGATTCGTAGATTGACCGCCACCAAATACTTGGCTCATGTTATTACTAGTTGTGAAATTACCGTAATTAATTGACTGATTGAGAGCATGCGAACCACTCGCAACAAACTGCGCCTGGCTGCTACTATTCGGTATTATAATACTGCTGCCCAAACTACTAGGATCGAAATTCCCGAAATCCTCATTGTAATTATCACCTAAACCAGCGCTTTGACTGAGATTACCAACGATAGCTGAGCTCTGGGTGAAACTAGTGACCGGTCCATATATCTCGCCACAGGTGTTGCCCGCGACCGCGGCTGACACGACCGACGCGGTCGCGGGTGGCGACGGAACGGTGCTGGACACGGAGAATTTCTGCACGGGGGAGTACAGGTCCCCCGTGATGCTACCAACCACCTTCGAGCTAACCGCATACAAGTTTTGCATCTCTTTAACCTTCTGCTGCTTTCGGTTGGCGGCGGGCGACTGCGTCTGCACTGCCGTGTCTGAAATGCTCAGGCTCGACATGAGGAGAGTGTTATCCGAGGAATCAAGGGAGTCTAAGTTGATGTCAGACAGGATGGAATCACCCGACTGAGTTGTGATGGATGGCGGTTCGGAAAGCACGGGGTCAAAGAAGGGTAAGTCGGACACAACGGCGGTTGTTAGAACTTGATCCTCATCCTGAAATTGGACCGCCAGGGTGTTGAAGGGAGATGCGGGTGTCGTGTACACGGAGGGACATACCCCTCTGGCTTGATTGTCCTTGAGAAGTTGCGTGAGAACCTCGGGACTTTGCGCCACGATGTACGTGGATGGTGCCGCTAATTGCGACTGCTCCGTCGTATTTTGTGGTTGCCGGGACGGTTTCGGTGGCGGCACATCGTCTGCACCTATAAAACGGATTGATAGATATAGTCGATATCGGATAACATGTACACATTTTATTCAAAAATAGAGCCATATAATTATTGTAGATAACTTTCTACATACCCCAAGACATGGCTTGAACTCTTCTGTTTTCTCGTCTCATAGTTTCTTGCTGCTGATGTTTCTCTTCTAGCAAAATTTCACTGTAACGATTTAAAAGAGCATGTAATATAACTTTAAAAAAAACATTTACAGTTTGACAAACACTTTAAATACTCACTGTAAAGTTTCTCTAATTTCTTTAAATGTTGGTCTTTTACTAGGTTCGTAGCTCCAACACTGAGACATTAAAGAGTATAATCGTGGCGGGCAATGATTGGGAAGTGCGAGTCTCTCTCCGTTCTCCAACTTGCGTATTACTTCGTTATTTTTCACGCCTTGAAATGGTTTTACGCCTAGCATCAAAATTTCCCATATACATACACCTGGAATAACAATCATGTTTCATTGACGTGTCTTTTAAGAGACAGCAATTTTTATAGAACATGATTAGCTTTAGAAAAAAAAAACGAACCGAACATCCAAACATCGGATGAAGTGGTAAATCTTCGGAAATTTATACTTTCCGGCGCCATCCATTTAATTGGTAGCTTACATTTGCTCGCGGTATAATAACTCTGATCTTCTACCCATCTACTAAGGCCAAAATCCGCCAATTTAACGCAACTATGCGATGAAACTAGCACGTTTCTTGCAGCAATATCTCTGCAATAAAACGATTAATTATAAGAATATGATGAACTGTGATATTCGAATAATAAATAGATTTTGTTTGTTAGTAAGTACCTGTGCACAAATTTCTTGCTTTCGAGATACGAAAGGGCAGTGCTCAATTGGAAAGTATACAGTAGAAGTGTGGCAAGGTCCAGACGATGTTTATTAGACTGGAGATAAGCACGCATTTCTCCGAGTCTGGCTAATTCCATTACAAGCCAAATTGGTGCTTCTGAACAAACTCCGATCAATCTGATAATATGCGGATGCTCAAACTGCTGCATAATATCTAAAATTTGAATTTATTATCTCGGAAATAGATATTTATATACTTTATTTCATTATAATGAATACATAATTTATTGTATTGAATTTTCGTACAAGCTTCTTCGAGGAATTTCTCAGCAGTGGCAAGATCTGCATCAACCTTACAAGTCTTGACGGCAACAGCGACAGTTTGATCATCTCTTCCTTTGTATGATCCCTTATGAACATTACCAAATTGTCCTTCCCCTATGATTTCGCCTAATTCTACTTGATTTCGAACTATCTCATAATCTCGAGCTGCAAAGAAAATTAATCAAAAGAAAATTAATCATTTAAACATCTCTCCATGTATTTCAAAATGTAAAAAAAAATGCAGTATATCAATTACTAGCTGGCGTCGAATAATCTCCTTCTTCGTCGACAATCTCTGCATAATCTTCGGACAAGATTGTTCCAGTTTTACTCGAGTTCTTCTCCGCTGGACTGCTAGCACCATCCTGCCTATATTTTGGTGGCTGTGCATCTATAAATAAAATTGGATTTTATACGCGTGTAAATAAAATAATATCTCGTTCTTATAAAATACAGAAACATGTATAAAACGATGCCTTTTTGGTTCGTTTTACCTTTGCATGGACAAGGATAATTCTTCCATGATCCAGCTTGCAAATATAGAATAAAAAGAAACTTAATATATTTTATTAACGTTAATAGAACAAGTATATAATTTATGAAATAGTTTTTTTAGAGATACTATGCGTATCTTTTCTTAATAGTATTGAAAAAGTTAAAGATATTTACTAGATTTTTGCAACAATGACATTTTTATTTTTACCTTTTCTATTCCACAATGAAGTATTACTGCTTGTGACCAATCTACAATAGCCATCAATCAAATCCGCAAGGCTTTCCGCTTGATCCAGACTCGAACAAGTAATACTGAGAGTCTCCGCGGCGCCTGCGACTCTCAATTTAATGCATGCCTTCGCGTGTTCTTTGCAATCCGACACTAACGTTTGGATGGATTGTATTTGTGAAAATTCTGCCATCCTAGTTGGCTGTAATCGAAATTTTATTTCGAAAAACTCGTCATAGAATTATGCTACTTTTATTTTCAAAACTATATGGAATATATATTACACAAAATATGTGTAACGTAAAAAGTATATGTATGTAATATAAAACGTGTAATGTACCACTGTTCCGCCTCGATGAGCCATGTAAGATATACCCAAGTCCGGTCCAATGACTAGTTCTACAGGTATTGACCAGCTTGACTGTAAGTTGTAGAACAGAAGTTGTACGAGCGATGTTGGGTATGATTAATACATAAAGTGAATAAATTCTACAAATGGGCATGAATTCTTTACACTTTTATCGTTTAACAACTTTTTCATTTGTATCAGAAAAATATATACGCTAGATCTCGATATGTCATTACTTACCCCTAATGCGCATATAAATCTTTCCTGATCAAATCGATAGTGCGCCCGCAGCAGATCAAAGAATTTGAACATGCACTCCAGTTCGGACAACGCTGCGACTTTTTTAAAGTGTTGCTGTATTAGTTTTCGGAGCGCTTTCGGTTTCATCCCATTCAGCACGGAGCGCGGCAGGAATTTATGTAAACCGACCTGTGGACAGAATATAGACATTATTCGTTTCGTATATTTTGTACAGTGAAAGGGATGAATTGATGCGAATATGCAAGTGAAATCGAGTTATTCATAGGCAAAATTTGTTGTTTCGAAAAATTACCTCACGCTCTAAGTATTCCAGATTGCTCTTCTTGTCCAGAGCAATTTGCGGCATATCCTTGAAAAAATAACGGATCTCTAGGCAACAAAGCTGAACCGCGACGTCCTGATCCAGTGTGGAGTGGTTAGCAAGCAGGTAATCGTTTCGTACCTAAGTATATAGATAAATGCAATTTGTCATTTATTTTTAAAACGTTAAACATCTTGCTAAATTACTCATCGACGTATCATCATACCTGATCGTAATAATAGTAAAACGTGACCTTATCCTTCTCGTAGAGATCATTCAAGTTCTGAGGAAGATAACGTACTCGGAGCTCGTACCTCCATTCGCAATGTGGATGCTTTCGTTCATACTTTTCTTGGACCTGAGCAATAGATACATTGAGAAAATTGAAAGAAACAGAATGTGTCAGAATATAACAGAATATATGCCAGATACGTGACTCACATATATCGATTTATACCTGATACATCGTTGTATCCTGATGCAACCAATAACTCTCTCCGGATCCGGGATGGTGCAGCCTCATTGCGTACAGATTTCGATAATGTCTAGTACCAACAGCTAATCGACTAGTTACCAAAGAGATGATACCTCTAACGTCGATCGCATCACCGAATTTGACGACGTTGAAGCCACCTGAATTGCAGTATTGAAAAACAATATTAATATAAAGCTACTTGTCTTTTTTCTTCTTAGGAACATACATGTTTTGATTTTAATGATATTTATAATGGATATAGATTTACTCTTACTCACCTCGTAAAAAAAGAAATTAATCAATAAAAACTGAAATTATAAGCGGTTTATTAGCCCGGAGAATTATACATCCTGGAAATTCGAAGTACGCGTCTAGAATAGTATTAGTAAAGAAAAAGAATGGAAAAACGAGTTTATGTTGACTAACGAGTTTTGAACGAGATTACGGCCAGAGACAATTACCGGTAATCGTCTTGATGTTTTAATAAATTTGATAATCTTTTAAATATTCTTTTAATTGATAAAATTTTTACTACTTTTCAAATTGAAGAACTTATTAAATTGATCCTATATTAAAATTGGCGTGTCACGTTTTTTAAATTCTCTAAAAATTAAAAGTGCTGCGGGTCCTGATCTAATTATAATAATATGTTAATTTCTTTCCTGTTTTACCTCTTTCAACGATTAAAGTTCTATTCATTTCCTTTATTCAGATAGTGTTTTGTGGTAATTTTTCTGATGCAGAGAGAGAATTTAATATGATTCTTATCCCTAAACCTAATAAGAAAAGATTACGACCTATTCCTTTAGCCTCTTGTGTAGGTACACTAGACTTTTACTTAGAAAAATTGATTATTAACCTTAAGGCTGCCGGAAAGCCGATATATCGGCTCTGGATGTTTCGTCAATTGGTTCCTCTATTTTCTCGCCTAATGCAACGAATTCTGCAATGAGGTGATGAAATAACTTACCATTGGGAAGATGGACTTTTAAAGTCGCCTTGTCCATGGGGGTAGGCGAGCCATGCGGCGGGGTGTTCCTGCCACCGCCGCTGTTTTGAACACCTACACTGCCTGCACCTCCATCTCCTGCTCCAGTACTCATCCCCTCATGGCTACATGGAGAACAGAAAAAAACAAAAGGGTCGACTTTTTATGGAAGTTCCTGCGCGTCAATGTATATTATCTTATAACAACCAAACCGCTCATTACACAAGCTAAATAAAGATCAATGTATCTTATAAAAGTTTGTTTTTAAAAACTATAGCTAACATAAGCTAGATCTGAGGTCGTCATATTTTTCAGTGTAACAACTAACAACTTTCATTTTTAGACGACCATAGTGTTATATTAAATAATTCAATCTGAATTACCATATGTATATTATACCTATATATAATAATTCAGATTGAATTATTTAAGCATTAAAGATCTAGCTTTGATCGTTATGACCATTACGTCTTTTTTAATAAAAGATCTTAAAATTATCTTATACTTTGTTATTCTTTTAAGTAAATACGATCGAGAGCCAATACGATTAATTGAATATTATCCTCTAATAATTTTTTACACAGGATATTCACGCAAAACGATTAAACTAATAAGCAATTCATATAGAACGATGTAAACTCGAATTACAAAAGAAAATATAGCGTAATATAACAAAAAAATTTTGCTTATACGGACGACAAGACGTAACATAAACATAATTGAAAACTATTTAATAAATCATTAATGACCTAATTCACTTTTTAATAATAGATCCTATATTTAACTATGAATATCTAATTAACCATAGGCTAAAAAATTCTTTTGAGGATTGAGGGTCCTAATATACTTCATTTCAATTGCAATAAAACTTCTCCAGCATGTCACATATCATAGTTATAATATAACATAAAATATGCAAAAATAGCCGTTTTTGCGACTTCAAATGTAAATTTCTCAAAATTGTAATGTGATGGAACAATTTGGAAGCCAGATTCCTATTCAACATCATAAACTCTACTTGTCTCGTTCTGATGTTTTTATTGTCGAACAGTATAATAAGTATATCTATTCGCGTGGATTTTGCCGCTCACGATGTGATTTCAACCGTTATTAATCCGCGCGATTATCATCTAGCAGGGAATCGTGACTCGATCTGCTCAGTAACGGATGTAACGACATGCAATAATCCAATTTGTCTCGCCGCATCTCTGTGGTTCTAATGCGACTTTTTACTATTTTTTGCGACAGTTCCCTGGTAACATTTCGAAGCATCGTTCGGTTTCGCAAGAGCGAGCTCCTACTGTGATAGCACGGTAGAATTCACGATTGCATTCGTTGTAGCCGCGGGATGTAACGTTCATATATCCCGCAAATCGAAACGTGAGTGTATTTCAGGGTGAAACAAATTGTCACGGGATTGCATAAGTCACATGAATTATTCTTATCGCAATTTCTGTAGAAATAATGTGTCTCCTCTCTAACCGCGTGTACAGCAAATGCGATGCATTATTTCGCTGTCTGCAGAGAAACAAAAGAATAACAATTTAGTAAAATTAATGAAGTACAAATTCTTAATTGTGTAAAATAACGTAAAATGTATGGATTAGTCAGTAATAAACATAGATACCGTTAATAAATCCCAAGCATTGTCCAACCAATATTCTCCCAAACGTAACAACCTTTTTACAATAACACTTATACTCATGTTCGATTTATGAACCAAAAAATGGCCGCCTTAATCATTTTGCGTACAGATACACAACACTTATGCATATCACACATAATTACATAATACCACTCTGTCGATTCACAATCAGTTAAGGCTGCGTTCGGAAACATCACCTGAGTGCTACTGTGTATTATCCTTGTTTAACATTGGGTAAACAACAAGGATAAAACGATACATTGGGCCACCCGGGTGATGTTTCCAAATGCAGTCGTATAGATATCTGTAATGTGTATCAAGTTATCGCATTTAACATTTTTGAAATTCGCTTACTATTTTTTCGGATAAATCATTTTATGGCCAACATATCAGGAACTGGTTCTTGAATTATTCATGATAATGTTTGCGATACGGTACTTTGTAATCGTGGTGAGCGTCTCTATTTCCGGGATAATTAATTATATTATTAAAGTTTTTTTGATAAATTAGTTTCTATATTCTTTAATTCGACCCTTAATTCGACGACTTGAATCTCCCCTTCCTTTAACGACTCTTTGTCTCACGTCTTTTCATTTGTAGTCACTTGTTAGCAAACATTTTAAAGCATAATGTCTATACAAAAGTTTTTAACAAGAGCATTACATTTTGTAACTTCCATCAGATTGCAACGGACATTTCTAATTCGTAAATATAGAAGGTATTTAATGTCCATGATTTTTTAACTCATTCTTATAGTTTTATTGAATATGATTTAGTTTTTATAATAAAAATAATTTCACTATAGGCTTATAGATTTCATAAGAATTTTTTACACTTTTGTAGTTTATTATGTAATATATACTTATAAATTTCACACTAATTTATATTTCTATCTTTTATTTTGTGAAGATTCTAACGAAGACGTCATGAACAGATGACTATTACAATCGATTAGTTCTTTTTGAATTCCAAGCTAATTGTGCGATCTCTCTTTCAGTTACTCAGGACGGTATGGGCAAAATGTTCAACCCGCACAGTGATTAGAGCTGCGGAGTCATTTAGGGTCCAGATGAATTGGGTGGAAGTGACTCTATTCGTAGCTCCTCCAGTGCTTCCGCTGCCTGGCGAGGACATACGCAGGAGTCTTGATTACGATCAAGGAATTGCTATATGAACTGCGGAGAGGGAGGGACATTTGGCCAGGGAGTGTGGGGCACCCCCACACTGTCTCCTGTGCTAGAGGGAAGGATAGGACACGGGCGGATCATTGCCTGGGCTCGATAGTCTGTCCCCCCCGTGCATCCAAGAAAGGATACCCTCTCTGGTCACTAGTGAAGAAGCGACCTCCTCCATAGAATGGGCCCTTAGGCACCTTTTCAGAGGGAAGGGGAAAAAAGGTCGGATCTACATTGCGCAGGTGGGGGCCTCTCCATCGTTCTCCTGAGGTAAGATTCGCCTGAGAAAAATTTTAGAAATCAAGATTTTGTACAACCAAAATTTTGTTGATATGCGACTAACAAACACGTTTTTACTTTTTTATTTAGAAATTGTGTTGTTCTAACCAAAATTTTATTATTCTAACTTCTTTGGTTAATCTAAATTGCTTCGATGTAGATAGAGTTGTGACAACCAGTTACGCAGTGTAGGGTGTTTAAATCGAATCTACAAATCCGATTTATGAATAGAGAAACTGAGCGCGAAGTGCCGCGCGCAAAAGTGTCCCCCTCCCCTCCCCTCCCCTCCCCCTCTTTGTACTGAGAACTTTGAAGATTGTACTGACTTTTTTTTGACTAGCACAACTTAAGTATGCAGTTTTATGCTATTTGAATGACTGATGCGAATGTAAGCCTTAGTTATATTCAGAATTGTCATAAATTATTTGTTGTCATATATATAACTTCTATTATCATTATTTAAAGGTATCACTTTAGTACAATATTTGTACAACCCAGCATAACCTAGCACAGTTAGAAAAATTAAAAAAAAAACGCAAAATGGGAGCTGATCCAAAAATCTTTTTTTTGTTTTTTTTTTATAATACGATTTTAATATTCGGTGTACATGTAGCACAATAAAAAAAATAAGTTAATTCTGAAAGTTTGGGGCACTTCTAACTTAGTATAAACACACCAATTATCTCTTTTTCCTAATTATCGTAATTATGTTTTCAATGTATTACGAGTAATTAAATTTGTTTTATGTAGAAATGACGAGATGCATTCGGCCGATATACTTACTCGGTAGTTTCGAGGTATTGGAAGACGCGGTAGACGGGGCGTCGATACATGAAGAGGTGATCCTCGACACGCTCCACCATCATCCTAAAACCACTTCATTCGAAACGAGAACCACTTATCACCACCTACTATTTATTACTGTTTCCACGACGGTTTCCACGGTAGAACACAGCACAGCGATGAAATACACGATATCACCAGAATGGGGCGACAATCCAGGTAGACATATATCCCCGACGATTCTGAGACAAGTTTTCATCTGCTTCTGAGTGATCAAAGTTCAGCTGCTCATGTTTTATCGATGCGCACTCTTTCGTTCTTTGTGACGGAACTGGATTGTCAATTAAATCAAAGGACTCGTCGTACAAAGTAGTATCGTTATAGCACAAGACGGAATCAAACGAATGTCCGAATCGATCTTCTATTTTCACAGACTGCTATTTCGATACTCGTCGTACAAACGATTAGTAGTATCGTTGTAGCACAAGACGGAATCAAACGAATGTCCGAATCGATCTTCTATTTTCACAGACTGCTATTTCGCGCTCGTTCTCTCGTTTACCGCATACTGCTGATCCCGCTGAATCGATACTCAAGCACAAACAGTCGGGCGATATTCAAGTATACTAGAGGACTGTGTTTTCCGGTGTATTTTTCTTCGATCAATAACTCTCAGCTACCCTCTCGATGTCTTGTTCTTCTGATTCTGCGATCGATTATATTGATCGTTAGACCTGATTGTAATAGTATTTTGAGGAAATATGACAATCACCAAACGTCTACGTAGTAGACATGATTGAGATAAATTGGCAATGATAAGAATGTATACTGTATAACATCCGTTGTAAAAAAAAAAACGTACTTTGGTATACTATCACATTTTGTTCCCTTCGTATAATTTTTAATTTATGTTTAAAAAATCGAATATTACATTATCTCATAAATCGATTCAAGGAAATGCGTATGGTACACGCGAGGATATAACTTATAAGCAATTCGAGTAAACAACAGCTAAATCGATAAATTTCGTGTATTCTTGTTGTATCATGCTAATTTGATGGCGTGCGATCTAGATTTTTTGTTGCAATTTTACGAGCGATGCGATCTTTTTAGAGAGAAGGTAGTAGTAAAGTTGTCGTAAATATCTTTTGAACGAACGTGTAAAATTGTGAGATAAGATGAGACAGATCATCGTTAGCTATGTTCGATAATTGAAAAACGATTTGCTGCCTCCTTAAGAAGTCTCATATCGATGAGAGAATCGCGTGCGGACAAGTATATATACGAATTTACTTAACCTACCCCAAACTACGGGATACCGCCTAAATTCATCCGCAGTCATTGCAGCCAACAACCTCCGCAGTGCAACTCACCCCCTTGCTATCGAGCCAGACTAGTATGTGAATGCCGATATTTTGATTCCAAGCCATAGTCATACCCAATTGCATATAATAATAATTACTTTTCAAGATATAATTTCAATTAATTGACGATTATTTTAATTATCTATTTGGTAATTTCTATGGTAAAATTTTAATTCAATTAATTATTACATTCTTGCTTTAAATTAGATATTGTTATATTTGTGCTTTTAATATTATGATACGACATTCGGATTCTTCTTGTGATAATTCTGACTCGCTTGTAAATTTGTATAAATTCTTATATGTATATACCTAAAAAAATCAATAACAAACCCGACGAAATTGTTCTGTCTATCTCTTTCTATCTCGTTTAATCCTCATAAAATTTTACAAAGTTACACCGAGTAGTTTGAGGTTATTTTGTAATGAGAATTCTAAGAGTACGTTCCACTTGACGCTCAAAACACGCGCGAGCATTTGTTTTTGCTTAACATTTGATAAACATAAAATAAGATAAGGATAAAATAAGTATTTCATGTTATTATCAAGAAATATTTTCTCTTTCTCGAATTCATTTTATTATTAAGTATCCAGAATTTATGATATAAAAAGATTTTGTGATATAAACATATTTATGATGTAAAAAACTTTAAGAAAAAAAAAACCGTTAACATACACCATAAATCTTCAGATTTTATTAACGACGCGATTATACAGGATATTTTGAATGATGCTAGCAAATATTTTAAAAAATATAGAAGATACGAAAAAACATTTTAAATAAAAGTATGGTTTGAATTGTTTTAAAGGAAACAAATAATTAAAAAAGGTATGCAGTTGCATATTGTAAATTGCATAATTTTTTTAAAACCAACTATGTATTTCTTTTGATTTATCTCATTATTCTTATAAAATAGTATTAAAATATAGTTATCAAAAAATGAATGATTTATGCGATATTTCATGTACGAATATATCAGAGTAAATCATAAAATATCTCGTAAACTATTGATTTTTTGATAAAACACTTTTATATAAAAAATAAGCAAAAGAATTATGTAAAAAAACATACAATTCCATTTAAAAAAAATATCTAGCAATCTTATGACCTTGAAAAGTTAATTTCTTCGAAAATTGATTTTACTCTTGTCAGATCATACACTTCGGATCATAGAACTTTTGTCTAAAACGTTTTTCTGTATTTTTCACATTTTTCGAGATATTTGCCTGTGTTGTATTTAAAATGGAAAATTTCATGTCTCCAAAAGATTAAAAACTTAGAAAATTTAGCAAATACGAAAAATATATACTATCTTTAATGAAACAAAAAAGTTATGAGGAATATTATATGACACGCTCGATTTTATAGAATTTTGCTGTTCGAATTATTGGACCAAGGTCGTACAACCTTGACATCGTGGTATGAAACTCTCATCGTCAGGGGTTATTCAAGCTTTAACCCCACCCACCCCTCCCCCCTCCCGAATACTTCCGCCTGTGCTAGACGCTAGAGGTGAAACGATCTCTCAGAAGTCTTTGACTTCCCCCACATTTACTCACACATTTAATATCGCTATAGTCGTAAAACTGAAATAAAAAAAATTTAACTTTATCACTAGTAGAAACTCCTTTTCTCTATAAAGTTTTTAATAGAAACAAGAAGAGATTTACTTAAAATGTTAAACAGTGATATTTTTTCCAAATTCACTTAAATTGATAAGAAAATTTTCAATTAAAAAATTTACTGAGCTTTCTCAATGTTAGAAAGTTTCGAGACATATTACAAGATTTTTTTATACGAATCTTAATCGAATCGTATCTCACCTTCCTTTTCAATGAAACAATCATTTCGTCAGAAGCATTCTGCTCTAAGCGATTTAAACAATCTCTTTTTCACTTCGTTCCATTTTCTTTCGAATATCTCTTCAATCTCACGATTACCCTTCGCGCGTCCTCGGACACTACCCCATCAATTTTTATCCGTTCGCAAAGATCATCTCCCACTATCATATACCAATCGTTCTCAAAATCACTGTAAACATTTCAATGATCCTCTCTTGAAATCACAAATTTGGTTTCACGTCGCGATTTCCACGTAATGGTACCGCGTGATACCCCTGCAGGTCGGGCCTTGCGACGCAAAGCGACCTTGACTTGCTCGAAGGTCCCCAGGTTCCATGGACGCGCAACGTCGCGATGTTGCAAACGAATCGGTGAATAGATGGACGGACGAACGGACGGAGCGCCTAGCGTCGGTCGGTGGGCGTCGGTGCAACGATCGGACGAGGACGGAAAGAACAGGGTAGCAACGCGCCTAGCAACAGCATGGATGATGCGCGTCTACAGCATCGTCGGCGTCGTCGCCGTCGTCAGGTATACATTTTGCCGGTTCAAGGGGAGCAGGCGCTTTACTGGGTGCGGCAGGCTGCGCCGCGACGTCCAGCGTCCTTTCCCCGCTGCGACTCCCTCCACTGTATATTCTCTCTCTCTCTCTCTCTCTCTCTCTCTCTCTCTCTCTCTCTCCCCCCCTCTCCCTTCCTCTCCCCCTTCCCAGTTCCTATGTTCACGTTTAACCGACATCGACATGCTGCAACCCTTGCGTGGCCCTGCGAGACCTCGTGGACATTGACGCACCGCGTCGCGACGCGCCACGCTGCACTGGGGCGAATGTCTGCGATGGAATCTGCTGTAATAACGCGCGTGTTGAATTTCATAAGTGGCATTGATACGTTCGCTAAAACTTCATTTTCGTTTCTAAATATATTCAAGTATTCGCAGCGTTTACAGAATGTGGATACATAAGATACGATGCTTTAAATCGAACAATATATTTGTATGATTTTACATGTAAATTGATGGTTACGTGATACGCATGTATTCTGTCTAATTCAGCTAATACTTTGTATAAAGTATTTATCTCCATATTATAAAAAGCAGAATATATGTAAGAAAAAACGTAATAAAATAGGAGGGAGAGAGAGAGAGAGAAAAAGTACATGAATAAATGACTTTTTATTTAGTTTTCTTAAGAATACATAATCTATTTAAAAATATATCTTTTACAAATAATCTTTATTTGAGTAGCATTAAATACTATATATTCTCTTAACATTCTGTTAAACGACTCAAGCCTTTAAGTTTTACACTGCTTCAATTCATACGATAAGGCATCATACACTTATGCCTTCATAAAATATTTTTTTTCACGTACTTTTTGTTCTGTGGAATTTTACTGTATACTAACAATGAGAGAAAAAAATGGTTGCAAGTACTATAACTTAATTATAATTTATAGTCATTTTTTTGGGCCAATTATAAATTTATAATTGTTTTAACCATGCGCATTATAGCTTCAACATTGAAATATGATCATTTAAACTATGACATGCATTAAGTTTTTCTCGAGGGGGTAACCACTCAAAAAATAGGTGTACACCTGGATTTCGAACTTCAAGACTTCATCGGACTTCACTGGAATTCATTGGACTTCATCGGAATTCATGAATTCATCGGACTTCGTTTGACTTCATCAGACTTCATCGGAATTCATCGGATTTCACCGGAATTCATCGGATTTCACCGGAATTTATCGGGCTTCATCGGAATTCATGAATTCATCAGACTTCGCTGGATTTCATCGGACTTCACCGGAATTCATCTGACTTTATCGGAATTCATCGGACTTTACCGGACTTCATCGGACTTCGAGGAATTCATTGGACTTCGTCGGACTCGAGGAATTCACCGGATTTCACCGGACTTCATCGGACTTCACCGGACTTCTGACAGAGTGTACACCGGAATTCAAGAGTGGTTACCCCCTCGGTTTTTCCTTACCATGCAAATTAGTTTTTCCTTACCATATCTCTTGATTATTATCATCTAAACAGTTAGTGAATGTTAAGAAAATAAGTTATATGATCACTATAATGACGATTGCATTTATTATATAAAAATGATTATTTTTATTTACGATTCGTATCTTAACATTTTACTATATATTTACATTAACTGAATAT